TTCAACAATCCACAAATCTCAAGCTTTTTAAATTGAGCTTCTAGCCCTTGAGACTCTTTCCCCCAACCTCTGAGAGCCCGACACATACGTACGTCCCTCTTAAGAGCTGAAAAGGTTTAGACTGTGAAGAGTATAAATTGCCCACTTTTATTGGTGCTCAATTCCTGTGCTTCTCGTCAACTGATTTGGGAATACTGCTTTAATGGAGGAAGTTAGGCTCAGAGGAGCAGCTTAACTCAGAGATGCAAGAAACCACCTCTTTCTGAGAATGGGTCACTCTGTTGCATCGCTTCCTAGGATGGCAGTGACAGCTTCCCCCTGTGGTTGGATGTTCTGGGGCTTCCTTATTTTTTTGTTACATGCCAGGAGTTTTCTTACGGCGTTCTAGCTTGCCCAGGGCAAAGTTTGGGAACCGCCGCTTGGGAGCACAGGAGAAGTGTGTGTCCAGTGCCATTTCAGAGGCCAGGTCCAGGACAGAGGGGCTCCTTCCAGCCACGACAAGCAGATGAAATGGTGCAACGTAGCAAGCAAATATGCCAAGTTTTGTAATATCTATAGGTGACAGAACCCACCTTTTCTTGGAACAAGGTTCCTAGTGCAGGGGCGTGTATATGCAGCGGTCCTGCTAAAGGGCCCTCCGTGTTCCATCCCACCATAAGGATCCCCTCTTGTTGAGGGCTAAACAGTGTGACTGAGAAGCCTGGAAGGTCAGGGCAGGATATGCAAAAGGTGATCTTCTGCTCCTACTTCATTCATTTATTTATTTCTTCTCTCTCTTCTCAGTGCTGGTCAACAGGAAAGGTCAGCCACATCCCCTTCTTCTTTGTGGTTGCCCAGTTTCCATCTTTTAGCCCTGGGCAGAGTCCCCTCATACCCTTGGGCAGTAGAAGCAGCACACGGGAGCAACCATTGTTTTCTGAACTCTAAGGGTCAACATGCTGGGCTTCCTCCCTGCCGGCCTGTGTGCCTTCTGAACATTGGAGATACACACTGTGAAGGCTGCTTCTTCCCAAGTCCAACTTTGGAGAGCGCCGTCTTCTTTCTGTCAGTTGCAGTTGAGGCGTTGAGCAGCTGACATGCTGATAGTGTTAGTAGGCTATCCACAAGCAGCCTTTGAAGCCAGAAGAACGTCAGCCAGAGATGGACCACTTTGTAGTTTTCGCATTTGAGACAGAAAATAAAAACAACAAAGGGTGAATGTTTTATTCCTTCAACGTTTCCAAGCAGAAGCACTCTTGGGGCTTTTACGTCATCGGCTTCAGAGGGCATCGTATCTCGGAAATTATCCCAAGTCAACATCCTCCATCCGCACAAGCAGCAGTGCCTGGATATTTCAATTATTTCTGCGTCCTCCCCAGCAAAGATCTTTTTCGCAGATCGTTGTGCTGCTTATGGATCTGCCAATTTCGCATCCCTTTCCACTGTTTGCATGCTGGGATGAAAGAGGTGTGAGGGCGGCCAGGAGACTGAAGTTGAGCAGGGCCATGGCTGAGTGACAGAGCATATGCTTTTGCATGCAGAAGGTCCCAAGTTCTGTGCTTGGCAGTTCCAGGTAGGCCTGGGAGTGTCCTCTGTCTGAAACCTTGGAGAGCCACTGGCAGTCAGTGCTGTAGGCAGTACTGAGCTGAATTGACCTATGCTATCTGTATCACTTCATAAAAGGGGGGAACATATAATGAGATATCAAGGAGCCATAGCTCATTCGTAGAGCATCTGCTTTGTACAGTAGTACCTCGGGTTAAGTCCTTAATTCGTTCCGGAGGTCCTTTCTTAACCTGAAACTGTTCTTAACCTGAAGCACCACTTTAGCTAATGGGGCCTCCCGTTGCCGCCGCGCCACCGGAGCCCGATTTCTGTTCTCTTCCTGAAGCAAAGTTCTTAACCCAAGGTACTATTTCTAGGTTAGCGGAGTCTGTAACCTGAAGCATCTGTAACCCGAGGTACCACTGTATGCAGAAGATCCTAGGCTCAGTCCCTGGGATCTCCAGATAGGGGGTGACCCCAGAAGACCTTTCCAATCAGTGTGAACAGTACTGAGCTAGGTGTGGCCCAGAGGCCTGCTTCTCTATAAAGGCAGCTTTCCCTTCCAGCGTATTATCTTAGGGGCAATACAGAAGTTAAACTGCTGCACTTGTATCCTACGCATAGTGGAGCATATACCGTATTTTTCGCTCTATAGGGCGCACCTAGGGGGTTTTTTTTGGGGGGGGAATAAAGGGGGAAAATATTTTTTCCCCCCATGCGCGGGGGAAGCCCAAGCTTCCCCCAACCCCAGCCCCCAGAACAGGCTGCTATCCACAAGCCTTCGGAGCCCGGCGGGAACTCCCCCGCGCTCAGAAGGCTTGCGGATAGTTGCCCAAAGCTCGGAGAGCCCAGCTCTGCGCTCTCCGGGCTTCGGGAAGCAGGCTGCTATCAGCAAGCCTTGGGAGCGCGGCGGGCACTCCCGCCAGGCTCCCAAGGCTTGTGGATATCTGCCGAAAGCCCGGGGTGCACTGCGAAGCGATCCCCGGGCTTCGGGAAGCAGGCAGACGCACCGACCCCCCTCGCTCTCCAGGCTTCAGCGAAAGCCTGCATTCGCTCCATAGGACGCACACACATTTCCCCTTCATTTTTGGAGGATAGAAAGTGTGTCCTATAGAGCGAAAAATACGATATGTGCCTGGATCCCGGTATTGTGTGCAGCTGTCAAAACATCTAAGCGGTTGTGTGCACAGCTGTCAAGTGTCGGGGCTTTTGAGAGTTATAAAATTATGAATGGTGTTGAAAGAGCTCTTTTTCAGCAGGTAGTTTTTAGTACCAATGTTAGGACGACAGCACCTGCTGAAATCCCCCCTTTTGCCCCGTCATCCATCATCCTGTGCATTTGTTGCAGCCTTTATCAGCTGCCTCTGCCCGATGTTGAATCTGAGCCTCCCTGCCGCAGACTTTTTGCTCAAGTGCCGTGTGATTACCATAATTGCAAAGGGGGGAAAAAGTTCTCTAGAGCAGTTGCAGTCTTTAATAACCGGAAGAGTTATTTTAAGATAAGAAGGCATGGCCAGCAGTTTGCCATGCAAAGGAGAGAAACAAAGGCCTCTTATTTGAAAATATGAAAATAGATTCGGTTCAGTTACTTAAAAGGCTTGGTCAATTAAAAGTGGCTAGGAACAGCAGCACTAGGGAATAAGCAGAAACGATGAAATCTGAGGACTGAAATGGAACAGCCTCTTCTTAAAGATCGCCAAAGGCATATTTAGAAGGAAGGACCAAGCTCCATGTTATTGGGTTTCATACATTTTATATTGGACATTTTGCTTTGGATCTTTCAGAAGTCTCATGAAGGACAGTTACATTTTTAGAACCAATGTTATAAAAGGGGACATTTAAAGCAATCCAGTAATAAAAATAGATTCTTTTCTCTCCCTCACCCCAATGCCCGGTTCGAGTCTTGGGCCTTGCATTGCTCTCAGAAAACAGTCTGGATCTGGCTAAGTTTCAACCGGTGATCTTATGAGTGAGCCTACCTTTTCACTTTAAGATCATACCTGCCTGCTATCTGTGTTCAAAGTATAAGGATCTGGAATGCTTACAAGAGTACCTGATTGTAAAGAGACTGCCTGCCTTAAATCTGTTTCAGGCCCAAGAAATGTGAATCATAGAATTGTAGAGCTGAAACGGACCACAAGGGACCATCTATTCCTTCTCCTGCAGTGCAGGAATCTTTTAGCCATCCCAGCTATGGGGTTCAACTTCCTTTTTGATACTGAAATAAAAAGTGGCCGTTTTATGGGTTCTTAAATCTCCTAACTTCCTGAGTTTGGAGGGTCTTTTCCTTGGAAGCTCCCATTAAGTAGCCTCTGCTCCTCTGCAGAAAACACTTGCATTTTTGGAATGGGACACAGTCTCTGCGTCTTTATAGTGGTGGCTGCTTGTGAAAATTGATTTCTTACAAACGGGAAAGTGGAGACCTTGTTTACACACACTGCTTTCATTTGAAGCTCTGGTCCAAATTGTTTAAAGTGTGTGTCTGTAAAATGTAATGTACGAGTGGGAAAAATGTGTGCTTGGAAACAGGTTTCTTAGCTGCAGCCCAGCAAGGAGAAAGGCTGCAGCTCTGCCGTAGAGCAACTGCTTTGCATGCAGAAGGTCTCAGGCTCAATCCATCTCCAGGGAGGATTGGGAGAGAACCCTGCTTGGAGCACTGGAGAGCCACTCATAACCAGTTGAAACCCTGGAGAGGTGCTGCCAGTCAGTGTAGACAACACTGAACGGGATAGACCCAAAGCTCTGACTTAGTATATACGTTCTGCAGTCAGCAAAGAGGCAGGATTAAATGCAGCTGTTCCGTCTGCAGGTTTCCCTGCCCCACAATGTGGAGAAAAGGAGACTGAAGGAGGCAGAAAAAGCCACTGAAAGGGAAGTGGCTGCAGCAGAACAGATGGGGCAGAAACGCCCCAGTCAAAATAAGGGATTAAGAGAACAGGGACTTATGATTGTTTCATGGTTAATCCCCCTAGCATTAAGCTGTAATATCTTTGCCTAAATCCCTGGCAAATGGGGAAAGAGAAGCTTGAGGACTCTCTGCGAGGGGCGGGGGATTGGTTTGCTGCATAGGAGCAATGCAGCCTGTAATTCAGAAAAAAATAATGTATTGTGCAGAAGGGGGAAATCGGATTTTAAGCAACTCATTTTTGGCTTCCAACCAGCATCCCCTGAAGGCATATGGGGTTGGCCCTCTTTCATTTGCTAGGAGGTCATAGGGTTAGGGAAGCAAGAACTGGGGTCCAAGGGCTATTTTAAGGGGGAACCAACCCACCAAGCTCCACCCTCATACACCTAATTCCCAGGTTTCTTGACAGGAAGAAGCTGGCAACAGTTACCGTATTTTTTGCTCTTTAAGACTCACTTTTTCCCTCCTAAAAAGTAAGGGGAAGTGTGTGTGCGTCTTATGGAGCGAATGCAGGCTGCTTTCACTGCACAGCGATCCCTCTTGCTGTTCTGGCTTCTGAGAGTCAGAATATTTTTTTTCTTGTTTTCCTCCTCCAAAAACTAGGTGCGTCTTGTGGTCTGGTGCGTCTTATAGAGCGAAAAATACGGTAAGTTTTATAAGCATTTTCAAAGCGGTTTCTATTTGTTTGGGGAGTGCTCCTCAAAACCCTTGGTTCTCAGAGGATGGTGCTGAGGGTGTCTTCTTCCAACTCCTCCGGGCTGGGCTGCTTGCTGGGCAGGGGCAGAGACTTGAGATACTCCAAGTGGCGTCGGGATTCCGCTTGGTTGCGTCGGACGTAATAGATGACGTAGGTGATGACCACGGCGAACCAGCAGAACATGGTGAGCAGCATGGCCAGGTCCGTGTTCCTCTGCTGGCCCAGGCAGAAGTTGACGCCGGTGTTGAGCAAGCGAGCTAAGGTCTTCCCGGTGTATTCCTCCCACTCCGCAGTGGCACACACAACGTCCTCCACGGTCTCTGCGTCCAGAGGAAGAGCCTCCACCAGCTTCTGCAGGGAGCAGTCGCAGTGCCAGGGGTTGTCGTACAGCTCTAGCCGGACCCAGGTGAGCATGGCGAAGGGGGCAAACTCCATCCTCTCCAGCTGGTTGCCGGAAAGGTCCAGCAGCCTCAGCCCCCCGCCCAGGCCGCGGAAGGCCCCCGGCGCTATGCTCTCAATCAGGTTGTCCGCCAGGTGAAGCTCGCGGAGCTGCTTCAGGCCGTAGAAGGCCCCGTTGGGGACGTGGGTGATCCAGTTGGAGTCCAGGTAGAGGACCCGGGTGTCGTGGGGAATGTCGAAAGGGATGGTCACCAGGTCCTTCCGGTTGCACCACACCACGCCGCTCCCCGGCGGGCAGTCGCAGCTCTGCGGGCAGGGGAGGCCGCCGTGCAGGATCAGGACCAGGAGGAAGAGGGAGAACGATGCTGGCATCTCTGCATTGCTTTCCTCTCTCTCTGGGTATGGCGGGGGTCACGAGGTGGCAAAGGGCCCAGAATCTGACCTGGAAAAGAGGGCAGGGGAGACAGAAATGAGCCAGTGAGAAAGAGCCTCCTAACACATCCCATGGGTTTCTTTTAACAATATTACCACACCCAGTGTGGATGCGGGTAGCACTGTGGTCTAAACCACTGAGCCTCTTGGGCTTGCTGATCAGAAGGTCAGTGGTTTGAATCCCCGTGATGGGCTGAGCTCCCGTTGCTCTGTCCCAGCTGCTGCCAACCTAGCAGTTCGAAAGCACGCCAGTGAAAGTAGATAAATAGGTACTGCTCCGGCGGGAAGGTAAACGGCGTTTCCATGCGCTCTGGCTTCCGTCACGGTGTTTCGTCGTGCCAGAAGCGGTTTAGTCCTGCTGGCCACATGACCCAGAAAGCTGTCTGTGGACAAACGCCAGCTCCCTCGGCCTGAAAGCGAGATGAGCGCCGCAACCCCATAGTCACCTTTGACTGGACTTAACCATCCAGCGGTCCTTTACCTTTTTTCTTTTTTTTTAAAACCACAATAAGGACCACCTTTTTAACCCATGTTTTCCTTCCAGAAAAAATGTGCGGGTACTTTGTACCCTTTAGTAGCCCCCCCCAAAAAAGGACTGACCACACTAGCATATATATATTTTTCTAACCAGGCTTCAACATCTGCTCCAGGTATGCGCTGCAGTCTGCATCTCACCTTGATTTGCGATCTTCTTGTTTTTAAAAGTGGAAATTGGTTCTTTGTAGTGATCTGATCATTACCATAGTGGCCATTTGGGACAACTGCTCTCTTTCTCTCCCCACCCCGGCTTTTGCCACCTCCCAGCCCTTTAGCTTCTCTAAAACTTATTTAGCGTTTCTCCAGATTTTAAATCCTGCTATATGTTGCAAAGGCTGCTGTGCTCAGTTCTGCACCCATAAGTTTTGTGAAAGGAGCCTCTTTCCAAATTTGCTTTATATTTTATTCTTGACACATACCCTCCAACAGCATAATATGTTTAGGGGGGGTCTTTTAAATGCCCATGCCATGCCCCTTCAGAGTTTTCACATCACCCTCTGATTCAGCAGCAAATAAAATGTGTGTGTAGCTGAGTGTGGGAAAATTGGAATGACAGACACACAATCACAGCTAAACCAGCTTCGACAGTGGAAATAGTCTATTAGAATAATACTTGGGGTTGTCGCGGTGAATGATGTTCAGTGCTTATAAAATGTGTGGGAGCAGTAATAAGAATAACACTAAAAACTCTTGGACTATCTAACTTTCCACCACGTAGCAAGAATCTTGATGATCAGTTCTAGAAATGTGGCAACTAATCTGAAAAAGCAAAGGATGACTGGGGGAAGACTATTCAGACTATTGAAGTTATAATTGGATGTCAATTACTTTTAAGCCCATTGTTGATTATTCTGGGGTATATGGAAAAAGATACAGTTCTGAGCATGTCATTCTGGTAAGAAATTTTATTATGCATCACTCGCTGCCAAATGGCGCCCATCTCAAATACCAAGATTAAAAAAGACTGGATTATGAAAGGATACCACTTTACAACGATGGTGAAATTAACTGAATTTACCAGAATGAGGGGAGTCAGAAACAAGAACAAACTGAAAGATTATGATCTCCCTTTTTTGTCATGTATGGAGCAGAATTACCAAAATACAACCATTTAATGCTGGACTGAACAACCTGCAAAGTCTCTTCCAGCTATGATTCCTTGAGTAAGAAAACCAATGCTCACCCCCTTTGCTTCTATATGAGTCACTGTTTTGGGTGTGCTTCTTCTGAGGGTGAGTAAATCTGTTGCACCTCTGCACTGGGATGGTATAACCTGAGTTGTGCATGTATCTTTCACTAATTACACACCTACCTCCAAAAGAGGGCGATCCAAAGTATATATTAAAAGCTGTTATCTCACTCTGAATTAAATACAGGTTCCTCCAGACGGTCACAGTTTTCTGAGATTCAAGTGCATAGTGGAATTTTAGATTTGTGTACTAAAAGTTTATTAAAGCGCCCTGTCGCCCTAGCCCAACAAATCCACTTAAATAGCGACAGACTTCTTGCAGTTTGGAAAAATTACAGGGAAAGGCCCTCAAAAGTGTAGGTTAAGTGAACAATAAGACATGTAAACAATCCTCAAGCAAATTGAGACGGCTGCTTATTGTCATATAACCACCCCACAAAAGGAAATCAAAACATTAAAGACCTGACCTTGTCCAACCACCATCTAAGCTTTGTGCGAGCAAATCAGGATGAATGCACAATAAGGTCATCTGGAGGAACCCTGGGTTTAATATTTCCTCCTGCTGGTGCCCTAGTTTCTCTTTTTCAAGGGTTCTCTATAGCAAGCCATGCTTTCTGTCCTTTAGGATTAAGCACCCAGGTGACAGAAATACAGATTTAGAGTAGATAAAGGCTCGAAATCCTCTGCATGCTTACCTGAGGGGAGCATTCCCCATTGAACACCGTAGATCTTACTTCCAGGTAAATAAACATAGATTTGTTTATTTGTAACAGATTTGTAACAGTGCATTCCCTTGGGTCTCACTCATGCAGGTTAAGCAGGGATGGGATTGCAGCTGCAAGGATGAAAAAAAAGCTCCTGGTATTTAAGGACTGTATTAATTTGTTTAGCTACCGCGTCCCAAAAAGGGCTCGTTCAGGAACACTGCCAAAACTTGTATGAAGTGGGTTAGTCTGTACTGAGTGACTTATTCAACAGTTGACTGTGTTCCTCAAGTCACTTGCTCAGTTAGGGTTGCCAAATTTCCTAGCAGCCTCTGCGCAGCGCCTTTAAGAGCTGCATGCAGATGTTAGCAGGTCATCTCGCTTGGTTTGATGCTGTGAAAAAGACCCCCTTGCAAATTCAGCATGCTCTTCAAGGGCATGAGAGCAGGCCCACACACCTTCCCAGTTTGGGAACTCAAAACCTCAGCGTTGTGTAATGGTTAGAGGGCCTGGGTAGCCAGGGTTCAAATCCAAAAAGCTCGCTGGGTGACCTTGGGCCAGTCATTCCTCTCAGCCTAGCCTACTTCGCAGGGTTGCTGTGGGGGTTAAATGAGGAGGGGGAGATCCATGTAACCCCACCTTACAAAAAACAACAACCCCACTCTAGCAGGATTTCCTGTTAGATAATCTTCTAGATTTTTCACAACCATCAATTGAATACAGTGCTAGGGAAAGCACAGTCCGTTGAGTTTCTGTCTCGGACTGCTGTCAAAAGACCACAGGAGTCTGTTTTAAGCCTTAGTTGCAACTCTCACCCTGCACCCCCCCAACCCCGTACTTCTCATTGCTCCAAACACACCTGTGTGAACAGCGCTCTCGTGGTCAGTCTGGTCCGAAACAGGTCCGGTCTGACTGTGGCTCCAGGGACCATCTCAGTAGCACCCAAAACATCTGCTGGCCTTCCTTTGGGAGCGTGTGGGCAGGTGGCAGAAACCTTGCGGGCAGGATTCTAGGAGTGCATCCTCCTGGCTCAGCTTCTCTGTCTACTGCCCATCAGCAAAAGAGCTTGAGACACACACAAGCGCTGAGAACCGAGAGGGGAGAGCCTGCCCCTGCTGGACTGCATGAAGAGCAGCAGCAGGGACAGCTATACTTGTGCAACTCAGTTCTGCTGTACACTGGTACCTTGGTTCTCAAATGCCTTGGCTGAATGAATGAATGAATCTTTGTTTACATCAGCCATTGGCCATAGCAATAAAACAACAATACGATATACAAAGAATAGAAATAAAAAGTCAGTTATATAAAATACAGGGGATGCGGGTGGTGCTGTGGGTTAAACCACGGAGCCTAGGACTTGCCAATCAGAAGGTCAGCGGTTCGAATCCCCACGACGGGGTGAGCTCCCGTTGCTCGGTCCCTGCTCCTGCCAACCTAGCAGTTCGAAAGCACATCATAGTGCAAGTAGATAAATAGGTACCACTCCAGCGGGAAGATAAACAGCGTTTCCGTGCGCTGCACTGGTCCGCCAGAAGCAGCTTAATAATGCTGGCCACATGACCCGGAAGCTGTACGCCGGCTTCCTTGGCCAATAAAGCGAGATGAGCGTCGCAACCCCAGAGTCAGCCACAACTGGACCTAATGGTCAGGAGTCCCTTTACCTTTATATAAAATACAATTTTAGGGTTTTGAATCAATAGTCAAATAGTGGATCTTACTCTGATTGCCCCAGCTAAAAACCTTGCAACCTTTGCCATCACCTGCTCATCTTGATGTGCCAAGAGGAAGGAGACTGTGGCAGTGGCTGGGCAACCCGGAATGGACAATAAAAGAGGGGTGATAATATCATTCCTCAAGTCTTTTATAAAGAGTGCAAGCCTGGAGGGCATGGCCACTAATTCAGTACTGCCATCTCCACAGGAACATAAGCGTTTTTCGTGTGGAATCTGTTGGAATCAAACGCCTTGGTTCTCAAACACTGAAAACCCAGAAGTAAGTGTTCTGGTTTTTGAACGTTTTTCAGAAGCCGAACGTCCAATGTGGTTGTCGGCTATTGTTTCCGGGGCACCTGCACCAATCAGAAGCTGCACCTTGGTTTTTGAACATTTCGGAAGTCAAACACTTCCGGAACGGATTAAGTTTGGAGTTGTTGTTTTTGCGCTTTTTTTGTTCATTTGTTTTTGTGATTGTGTGGAACCCTGTTCAGCTACTGATTGTGTGACTGTAGAAATGGATAAAAGACCCCCATCCAAACAATGACTATCAGTGCAGGTAAGAAAAAAAATCAATTTTATTTTTTTATCATCTACAATACCATCTTATTTATTTTACAGTACAGTACAGTGGTACCTCGCGTTAAGAACTTAATTTGTTCTGGAGGTCCGTTCTTAACCTGAAACTGTTCTTAACCTGAAGCACCACTTTAGCTAATGGGGCCTCCCGCTGCCACCGCCGCATGATTTCTCTTCTCATCCTGAAGCACAGTTCTTAACCTGAGGTACTATTTCTGGGTTAGCGGAGTCTGTAACCTGAAGCGTATGTAACCTGAAGCGTCTGTAACCCGAGATACCACTGTACATTGATTATTGCTTTCATTTTATGTATCAATGGTCTCATTAGATAGTAAAATTCATGTTAAATTGCTGTTTTAGGGGTTGTTTTTAAAAGTGGAACGGATTAATCCGTTTTCCATTACTTTCTCTGGGAAAGCGGGCCTCAGTTCTGGAACACTTTGGTTCTGGAACAGACTTCGGGAATGCTTAAGTTTGAGAAACAAGATACCACTATATTTAGGATTGACCAAAATGTCTCAATTGCCCAGAATTGAACCCAGACTGGGCATGTTGAGTGCATTGGATGATGGGAGGCAAAAGGGCTTAGGACAGGGGTCTGCAACCCGCGGCTCCGGAGCCGCATGTGGCTCTTTTACACCTTTGCTGCGGCTCCGGGGCGGATACTAGCGAGGGGAGGAGGCGCATTGTGCGCCCCGACACTCCCCACTGTGGCAGGTGCTGTACTGGCTGTGACGTCGCATGGGGGCTGTGCTTGCGTTAGTCACGCACCGTCCCAACGTCACCTTCCTGCCCGCCCGCCCGCTACATTGTAAGGGGCATGTACGCTGGTCACTGCATTGAAAGGGGGCATGTACGCTGGTCACTGTTTTGAAGGGGAGTGAAGAACACACACACAAAAAAGGTAACTTGTTAATTTAACGTTTATTTCTATGAGCAGGAGTAATTCTGAGGGGTCAAACAAAGAAATAATAAAAAAGTGACAAAAAAGTTATTTTTATAATGACGAGTTTTGCGGCTCCCAGTTTTTTCCCCTTCGGAAACGGGTCCAAGTGGCTCTTTTTGTCTTAAAGGTTGCAGACCCCTGGCTTAGGAGGCATGGATGTAAGTAAAGGAGGGTGCTAAGCATAATAATGCAGTGAAGTCCCTGAATTTGGATGCAATAAACTTCAGCGCAGGAGCCACTAATCAGGGTATGAAGATGGCTGCTGTTGTGTTAGTCCATCTAGCTTGGATCTTTTCAGTCAGGGGTGGGGGAACCTCAGACCCAGGGGCCAGGCATGCTCCTCCAGGCTTCTGTCTGGTCTTTTCCCCAGGCCCACACCCTTCACAGACCCTGCTTTGCAGCCTCCATCAATGTTCTTTTTACCACGTTTGCCTGGATGGAGCATGTGTGGGAACTATTAAAGGTAAAGGGACCCCTGACCATTAGGTCCAGTCGCAGACGACTCTGGGGTTGCGGCGCTCATCTCGCTTTATTGGCCAAGGGAGCCGGCGTACAGCTTCCAGGTCATGTGGCCAGCATGATTAAGCCGCTTCTGGCGAACCAGAGCAGCGCACGGAAACGCCGTTTACCTTCCCGCTGGAGCGGTACCTATTTATCTACTTGTACTTTGACGTGCTTTCGAACTGCTAGGTTGGCAGGAGCAGGGACCGAGCAAAGTGAGCTCACCCCGTCGCGGGGATTCGAGCCTCCGGACTTCTGATCGGCAAGTCCTAGGCTCTGTGGTTTAACCTTGGTTGCACTGCCCACTTTGCTCCTGGCCCAACACCACGGCCGTGTGGCCCTCCAAATTTCCCAATAGGGAACGTGGAAAAGGCTCCCAGCCCATTTCTGATCCAACATTGTAACCTAGAAGCTTCAAAGCATGGAGGCAATGCCTGCCTAAATCTGAAGCCAGCAAACTGCTCGAATGAACATTTGCAGCAGGTCAGGGCCCTGGGTAGCCAGCCCTGTCCCTATCTCTATGGTTGGTAAAAGCAAACTACAAAAAATGATTAAAAAATCAGTATTATTTTGCAAAGTGAATTCCACAGCTTTGCATTATTTATTCAGTTTTAACTTTCTGGGCAGAGAGTTGTCATTGTTGTGCCAGCCTTTTCCTCTTGTATTTGCTTCCAAACCCATCACTTTGATTCTCTACTTCCTCTTTCTGGGCACAGTTCAAAGTACTGGTTTTGACAGGTGGAACCTTGCATGGCTTAGGCTATCTGAAAGAGCATTTTCCCTCCTATGAACCTGCCTTGGTTCCTGGGCTCCAAGATCATCCACAGATACTCTTTGCTTAGTCCTGCCACGCTCACAGGCACGGTTGGTGGAGACACGGGAGAGGCCTTCTTGGTGGTGGCTCCTCCCAGACTTCGGAACGTCCTTCCCAGTGAGCCTCTCTTTGTCCTTCCTCTGGCAGGTGAAAACCATTTTCTTCTGAAAGCCTTTCGGGAACTGATTTTTTTAAAAAAGGGCTTTGAATAGTGCTGTGCCGTTTTCACAATCTGTATTTTAATGATTTGTTTTATATTGTTTGAATTCTTTTAAACCGGTCTCTTCTATGTTTTTAGCGTTCTGTTTTTATCCATGTTGCTTTAATTTTGTAAAATAATAATTTATTTATACCCCACCCATCTGACTGGTTTTCCCCAGCCACTCTGAGTGGCTTCCAACAAAATATTAAAAATACAAAAAAAAAGTCAAACATTAAAAACTTCCCTAAACAGGGCTGCTTTCAGATGTCTTCTAAAAGTCAGATAGTGTTTATTTCCTTGACATCTGATGGGAGGGCATTCCACAGGGTGGGTGCCACTACCGAGAAGACCTTCTGCCTGGTTCCCTTTAACCTTACTTCTTGCAGTGAGGGAACTGCCAGAAGGTCCTCGGAGCTGGACCTCAGTGTCCGGGCAGAATGATGGGGGTGGAGACGCTCCTTCAGGTATACTGGGCCGCAGTTTAGGGCTTTAAAGGTCAGCACCAACACTTTGAATTGTGCTTGGAAATGTACTGGGAGCCAATAGGTCTCGTAAGCCACCTTGAGTTCCAGTCCTGCCAACCCAGCAGTTCAAAAGCACATCAAAGTGGAAGTAGATAAATAGGTACCACTCCGGCGGGAAGGTGTTTCCGTGCTTCTCTGGTGTCGCCAGAAGCGGCTTATTCATGCTCACCACATGACCCAGAAAAACAATCTGTGGACAAATGCCGGCTCCCTCAGCCAGTACAGTGAGATGAGCGCCGCAACCCCAGAGTCATCCGCGACTCGACCTAACGGTCAGGGTCCCTTTACCTTTTACTTCCCCTGGACTGGAACTCAAGGTGGCTTACGAGACCTACATTGGCTCCCAGTACATTTCCAAGCACAATTCAAAGTGTTCGTGCTGACCTTTAAAGCCCTAAACTGCTCGCCCAGTATACCTGAAGGAGCGTCTCCACCCCCATCATTCTGCCCGGACACTGAGGTCCAGCCGAGGACCTTCTGGCAGTTCCCTCACTGCAAGAAGTAAGGTTAAAGGGAACCAGGCAGAAGGTCTTCTCGGTAGTGGCACCCACCCTGTGAATGCCCTCCCATCAGATGTCAAGGAAATAAACAACTATCTGACTTTTAGAAGACATCTGAAAGCAGCCCTGTTTAGGGAAGTTTTTAATGTTTGACTTTTTTTTTGTATTTTTAATATTTTGTTGGAAGCCACTCAGAGTGGCTGGGGAAAACCAGTCAGATGGGTGGGGTATAAATAAATTATTATTATTACAAAATTAAAGCAACATGGATAAAACAGAACGCTAAAAACATAGAAGAGACCGGTTTAAAAGAATTCAAATAATATAAACAAATCATTAAAATACAGATTGTAAAACGGCACAGCACTATTCAAAGCCTTTTTTAAAAAAAGTCAGTTCCCGAAAGGCTTTCAGAAGAAAATGGTTTTCACCTGCCAGAGGAAGGACAAAGAGAGGCT